TCAGTGGGGGCTCTGTTCACCTGTAGACGTGGCTGGGCCACAGACAGAGTTTGACGAGCCTTCTACCATCTTGGATAATAGAAAGAGCGGTACAGAACGCCGTAGCACATCTTCTCTTAGGCCTGAGCTACACTAGCGGGGGGGTTCGAACTAAGATATACAACTTCAGCTGAAGTCGAAGTATCTTAGTTCGACTTACCTGGCCGTTCTCACGATGGTGAGTCGACTGCCGTGGCTCCCCCGTCAACTCCGCTAACTCCTCCTGCCGAGGTGGAGTACAGGCGTTGATTAGGGGATCGATTTATTGCGTCCAGACGAGACGCAATAAATCGATCCCCGATACATGGAACACTACCCGCCGATCCAGCGGGTAGTATAGACATACCCAAAGACACAGGCTACCACAGCATATGAAACCTCCCTGTCCTCTGCTCCTTAAACTGGCTTCCCCATAGAATACCACATCAAGTTCCAGGTCTTGGTCCCTATCTTCAAGGCGCTCCATGGCCTGGGCCCAGGATATCTAAAAGATTGTCTCACATAAACAAGTAGCAACATGAAAACAAACACGTGGCAGATGTTACCCAGTATTGGGAGGCCTTAAATAGACTAGAGCTGGGTCTTTTAGCTCAGGCAGAGAAGTTCATACTTATGACCCAGAAGTCACAGGTTTGATCCGCATTGCCAACAACCCACCCAGGGCATGGCATGGCATTACACTAGCAGGATAAATTATGGTACAAGGCAGAAACTGTAGTTAAGAAAGACGTTTGTGGTTGTGGCCCCATGGAGTCATGTGCTGGAATGTGTCAGATCAATCTGTCCTTCTGAGTGGCTCCATCCCTGCAGTACCTGAGTACCCCACACATTTTAAATGAAGTCTTACAGATGGGGAACTGAGGCACAGAGAGATTAAGTGACTTTCCCAAAGTTACATAGGGAGTCCATGTAGTGCCAGGAATTGAACCTAGCTCTCCTGAATCCCTGTCCAGAACGCCCACCACCACCACCATAAGACCAACCTTCCTCTCGCATGAGCAAAGAGGCTCTTCCAGCGGAGACCAGTTCATTACAGCTCCTTATTGGCTCAGACAGGGAGAGGCTGATGTTTAGTTCAACTGGGTGAGCTGCTACTGCAGCCGCTGTCTATGAACCATGGAGGTCTCATTTTTTAGTCTCAGTTGTGTGAAGATGTAGGGTGCATCCAAAGCATTTCTGGGCCCAGCTGAGGGACTCCACTAATGGATTAACTCCATTTGACAGGTCTAGAGTGAACGGCCCAATGCCCAGAAGAGGTCTGCCATGCTATCCTGTGCGGGACATCCATCAGGAAGGCTTTTGTTTCAGGAAGATGCTTTTTGTCCTTTGGGAAATCTACTATCTAAGCAGTGACTTTATCTACTTTTTCCTTGTCCATGCTAGGACTGAGATTCTCAGCAGAACATAGTGGTCAGTGGATCTCCTACTTTCCCACACAGCCCCAGCTCCTAATCCATTTGGGCTTCGGAGCAGTTTACCATCTCTTATGATCCCTTGCAATTAACCCCATCGGTCCATTTCCCAGTCCTGGCAGTAGATGATGCAATTGGTACCAACAGTGACAAAGGGCCCTTTCCAGCAGGCAGGTCGTTTGGAGGAATTGTTTTGCAAAAAAAATTGCTTTGTAACCTTTGTTGATTTTGGCAATTCTCCTCCTCTGACAGCAGCGATTCTGGGTATCGCTCCACTGGCTGGAATTATCCAGGAGCTTTTTCATGTGTGTATAATGAACATGAAGTATAAGCAAATGAAACCTAAATGAACGGCAAATGGCCTGCAGGAACTAGTGGCAAGGCCCTCGCTGTGTCTGCTGAGCTGTATGCTAAGCAGGGATCTGCAGGGATTCCCCGAGTCAGAATGGGTGGCATTTATCTCCCAACAGGAGTCCCACAGCTCACATAAGTGCTGCTCAGTGAAGGGTATTACTGCTAGGGTCATTTCAGAACCAGAACCTTGGAACCAGAGCTGTGCTCAACCGGGGGATGCTTTTTTGCTGAATTTTGCACATTAAGGACTAGATTTTTGTGCATTCAGCATTCTGTAGCTCCCATGGGGAGGAGAAAAGTGTGGGTTCTCCACTATTTTCTGCTGGGTGCAGAGCTCTTGGAAGAATCTGGCTCCAGACGTACACCACTTCATTCTGGCCCTTTTGTTCTCCTCGAATTTTCTTTTCCATTAAAAAGGCTGAAATGGTCATTTTGAAAGTGAAAATCTGCCGAAATGTATACACTGTATTTTGAACGTTTCATTTCGAAACCACCTTTCCCCTCAAGATGGGCCATTGCTTTGCTCCAGAATAGGCTCATTTTCACTGGAATCGAGTTTTCAATGAACTATTCACAAACATGTGGTGCATTTGGGGGTAAAAATAGGCCCATTTGCAATATTAAAATAAAACATGAAATGGGTCTGCAATGTTTAGCCAATCTGGAGGACTCTGTATAATGGTAACTACATGGAACTTTTCAGTTCTCTTCCCAGCTGCGCCAGTGACTCACTGCATGATCTTGAGTGAATCATTTCAGCCCAGATATTCAAAGGGGCACACATGGAATTGTGTGCACAAACACATACAACTGATCATTTGCACATGCCGTTACCATGACTGTAATGCAGACTCAGTGACTGTGCATGTAGATTAGATGTGCAATTACACTGGCATTTCTGTGAGTGCCGTTGTATGCAATTCTGAAAACCTGGTCCTTAACCTCTCTCTGTGTCAACTGTCCTATTAAAAAATCCAAACCAACCAACCAAACAAACAAATGGCAGTAACAATAACTACTTCCTGGGGGTGTTTAGAGGCTTTGTCGGCATTAATAAAGCCCTTTGAGATCCTGGGATGAAAGGCACTGTAAGGGTTAATCTTATTGTGGGATATGTTTAAACGGTCTGTGTGTGCCTGGTCCCCACTAAGCCCCCACTTCGGACTAAGGTACGCAAATTCAGCTACGTTAATAACATAGCTGAATTCGAAGTACATTAGTCCGAATTTACCGCGGGTCCAGACGCGGCAGGAAGGCTCCCCCGTCGATGCCGCGTACTCCTCTCGGCGAGCTGGAGTACCAGCGTCGACGGCGAGCACTTCTGGGATCGATCCGGGATCGATTTATCGCATCTTAACCAGACGCGATAAATCGATCCCAGAACATCGATTGCCTGCCGCCGGACCCTCCGGTAAGTGAAGACGCACGTGTTGACGGTTCTCTTTCCCTATCCCTTTTGCATGGCAGCTGTTTATTATGGTTCCTTTAATTAGCTCAGGCTCTCTGAGAATGTCCTTTGCAGCTTCCAGTTCAAATACGTGGATGGAGATTTAGTGGAATCTTTTCCTTACTCCCAAGCATGTCTTATTCCACATGTTCCAAGTGCTTTGGATTACTCAATACCCTAAACCATTCCCAGTGGATCTTTGGCAGCAGAGCACATTTTATGGGCAAGTCTGACTGATTTTTCCTGGGTTTGGACATTTTCAGAGAACTCCTCTTGTCTGCAGTGGTGAACTAGCACGAGGTTGATTAAAGCACCTTGCAGTGTGTTTAGTTTGTTGTGCCCTGATCAAGCCCCAAATTCCTGTTAGCAGGCAACATGTTACAAAATGCACAAGTAAAGGCATATCTGCCACAATGTGTGGGCCACCATGGGGCCCAGCAACCAATCTGACTTGGCTGCCTTAACGTGCAATATGCCATCCCCAGGCAACGCAGGCATGGCATCATCTCCTGTAAACACCAGCCCCCAGAAACAACTGGCCCAGGTGCCAAGACCAGATCTACAGATAATTCCTAGGAATTTAAATACTGGGGCTACTCTAGGAGTCGGAGTCTGTTGTTGTTCTTACTTGTCACTTTCACCACTTCACAGACTATGTAGCTTTCAGATTATGCCTTAGAGGTCAGTTTATCCTCTTCATAATGCCATATATATATCCTAGTGTGAGTTATGTGTGGAGATCAAGGGGACAATAGACCTCTAATTAATTCTGCTGAACCTTACAGCCCCCTGGAGACTTCTCCCACCTGTCAAGAATATTTCCAGGAAATGTTACTGGGCCAGAGCTTCAGCTGCTGTATGTCAGCTGATCTACATAGGGTGACCAGATGTTCCGATTTTATAGGAGCTTTTTCTTACATAGGCACCTATTACATAGGCACCTATTACCCACCATCCCCATCCCGATGTTTCACACTTGCTGTCTGGTCACCCTAGATCTACACCAGCTCTTTACCTGATGCTTGTTTCAATTGGATAGAGAACTATAGCTCTCTGCGCCCCGGACTGACTCCAGACAAATTCCTCAGAGCTGCTTATTAACACACAGAAAACTCTGCTCTGTAATTGTTTATGGGACAAATTCCGACAAAAGGCAAATGGGATTTGACAATGTGGCCAAAATATCCCTGTTTACAAAAAGTATGACAAAATAGAAGCCCTTGGCTTTATCTTTCCCATTTGGAAACAGCCACAGAGCAAATATACTCAGGGCACGGAAGGGGGGGAAATTTATATTGACTTTAGAAAAACTGTTCTTTAAAAAAATAAGCTCTCTAGATGCCCAGATTCAGTGCTGGACCCCAAAGTCTTGCATAAGGGTTTAAAGCCTGCCTGCTAGCTTGCAGGGTTTGTGTGTGAGCAAGTCATGCAGTAAACTATTCTCTGTTAATTTTTTAATGCAGAATAAACAGGCCGAGAAATGATTAGCATGCAAGTAAGTTCAGCCGAATTGGGGAAATGAGAGAGTGAGGAGGCTAGCTGGAGTTATCAGTTAACCACATGAAGTGCCTTTGCTTCCAAGAGCTAATTCTGCCTGTTGCTTTCTGAACCCTTTTAAATAGCCTTTTTTAAAATTTAAGTAATGACCTAAAATGGCTAGTATAAGCACAATGGGAGCCCTTGTTTTCTCTTCTCTTTTTCTGTTCGTAATGGCTGCGCACAGGAATTGCAGGTGATAAGGGTCCTACCTGGTTTATTACAGATGATCAGCATCTTCTTCCCCATTCCCAACTTTGAAAGGAAGCTGTTAGATTAAGACGAAAATGTGGAAATCCACTTTGTATGTGCGCAACCGTTCTGGTGAGAGTTTCAGTACGATCCCAGCAGACCCAACGAGTGAACAGAAGAGACTGCGAGGCAGGGAAAAAGCATAACTAGGTAGTTGCTTGGAATGGAGTTTGGTCAGTGGTCGGAGATCTATATTCTCAGATAGACAGGACTTTGTCCACAAACTGGAATTTGAAATTTCAAAGGGAGAAAAGCAGAAGGGACCTTTCCGGGTGTGGAGATGACTATGTGACGTTATTTCCCCAGGACTTTTGTTCTTTAGCTTGTAACTCAGGCGGTTTGCGCTTCTCCCTCAGCTCATTTGGTGAATGAGAGACTGAAAGATCAGACAGAGAGAGAGAGATTTGTTGATGACATTCACTGTGGCAATAAACACATGTCCCAGCTTCACAGTACAAAACTTTCACAGTACAGATCCAGTACAGAACTTTTCCAAAATTTGGGGTGGGTTCAGACCCAGCATTTTGGGTTTGAACTCAGCTCTGGTTTACATACACTCATGACAAAGCCACTTTGGTCACAGTGGAGGCCTGGAGAATGTAGGCCGAAATGTTTAGAAATGGCCTCTACATTTGCACCAGCTATGAATTATTCAGGCAAATTGTAGCAACTAGATTTCTAGCTCTAGGCCTGAAGGTGTAATTCAGGATCTTAGATATCCAGTTAATGCCATTTGGGCTTGAAATTGTTGTGGGTACAACATTGTGCATGAAAAACTAGAGTCCAGAGGGTGGCCCAGCTGAAAAACAGATCTTGAAGGTGAAGCTTGGATGATTACTGGAAACTTGTATGTGTTTGAGATGCAATTTTCCAGGTACTACTCACTCCAAACCATGTGGCTGCAGCCCTACCTGCTGCTTTGGCAAAACTTCACCAGGGATATTAAGAATGTTTTTTCTAGGTCATCGGTTCCCAGACTGGGGGGGCGCGTCCCCCCTGAGGGGGCGTGAAGAAATTTCAAAGGGGGTGCGAGGCTGTGAAATTTTCATAAAGAAAATATTTTTTTATCAGCGTAATTTATTTATTTATTTATTTATTTTACTTATTTATTTAATAGCCCAACAGACAATAATACATTATACATATTCTGTATACATAATAATAACTATTCATAAAATTGTCCAATAACAGGCCTATATTATTAACTACGATAAAGTATTAACAATCTTCTCATTTTTGATTATGAATATACGTAGACAAGAATAAAGGTATAACATAAAGTACAATAATAATAAAAATACAACTATAAATAAAAGTATATAACTGCAATGATTTCAAATTTCAAACCAGAAAATGCAAATATTTTTTATTTTTTTGCCTTTCGACGTGTAGGAGTGACTTTTCGGTCGGTGGGGAGGCCGAAGAACGATGTAGAAAGCAATGGAACTTTTTAAAACTTCTTAGCTTGCTAGCGAGAGTGTTCGAGACTGTTCTATCGTGGGAGTGGTTACCTCCACCACTCACCGTGCAAGACCGCTTGCCGGACTGGTGGTGGGGTATATATAGGGCAGCACGCATCCGTACATAATAGTAGTAGTAAATAAACATTCGCGATAACTCAAATTAACTTGCGTCCGTTATTATTCACGAATCCAAAAAATTATTTTTATAGATTTTTTTTATTAGTATATTATGGCCGCGATTAAGAAAAGGAAGTACGATGAAGACTACATTAAGTACGGTTTCACCGTCATGGAAAAAAACGGGATCTATCATTCTCAATGCATAATATGCCATGTAGTTCTCAGCAATGATGCCTTGAGTCCTGAGTCGTCTTGAGCGACACTTGACAAAGAACCACAGTGCTTTGAAAGATAAACCAAGAGTTTTTTGCTGCTAAACTTCAAAATTTAAAACGCATGAAGCTGGACACTACTGGCGCTTTTCATCAAGCGTCGGCCAAAGTGGTAGAAGCATCTTAAGAACTGTCATTGCTCATCGCTAAAGCCAAGAAAGCGCACATAATAGGAGAAACTCTTGTGAAGCCTTGCTTGTTGAAAGCAGCTGATATTGCGCTTGGTGCCAAAAGCAAGAAAAAAATATCGGAAATTTCGCTTTCCGACAATTCCGTGAAATGTCGCATCGATGACATGGCGAAAGATCTAAAACTTCAAGTTGTGGAGGCAGTAAAAGCTTCTCCTTTTTTCGCAATTCAGTGTGATGATACCACTTATGTAGCACAATGCTGTCAGTTGCTTGTCTACATTCGATTCATTAACGATGGAACTGTGAAAGAAGAACTGCTTTTTTCGAAGGAATTGACGACCACATCAAAGGCTTCTGATGTTATGAAAATGGTTTCTGACTTTTTTGAAGAAAATGGACTTTCATGGGAAAAACTGGTTGGTGTATGCACAGACGGTGTTCCAGCGATGTTTGGCTCTCGCTCTGGATTTGTGACATTGGAGAAAGAAAAAAAGTCCAGACGTAACCACGACTCACTGCATCATACACAGACAAGCACTGGCTACTAAAACCCTTCCAGATGACCTATGTGACTCATTGAATTTGGCCATCAAAGTTGTCAATTTTGTGAAGAACAGCGCTTTAAATAGGAGACTTTTTGCAGCTCTTTGCGCAGATTTGGGAGCGATCATAAAATTCTTTTGTTTCACATGGAGGTACGCTGGATTTCCAAAGGGAACATGCTTTCGAGATTATTCGAACTGAAAGACGAAGTGGAAATTTTCCTTGAGCAACAGAAAAAAGAAGAGTTATATCATGCATTTATGAACCAAACGTTTCAACTTTCACTGGCATACCTCGTGGACATTTTTGAATCTTTAAACAATCTCAATTTGAAGCTGCAAAAAAAAAAACCGCTGCAAACATTATAGTGCACCACGATGCCATCAAAGCATTTACGGGAAAAAACGAGCTTTGGAAACGTCAAACGCAAGCTCAGACACCTAACTTTTCATCTTTTCCAACATTTTCATCACTCGCTGAAAATGAAGGTTTCCAAGAACTTTGTAAAGAGGATGCGAAGAACAAAATTGTGTTTCATGTGGACTGCCTTGCTGACGAATTCATCCGCTATTTTCCAGACAACTTTTCTGGCAACCCCGTTCATAAATTAGCATGTAATCTGTTCAACATTGATGTTGATTCATTGCCAGAAGTATTGCAAGAACAAGCACTCGAAATGAAATACGATTCAAGTGCAAAAGATATTTTCGAAAACTTAAGCCTGGAGGAATTTTGGATAAAATATTTCCCAATTTATCCGAAAGTTGGAGAAGAAGCACTACATATTATTCTTCCGTTTTCGTCGACGTACCTCTGTGAATAAAGCTTTTCAAGTTTAGTCATAATAAAAACGAAACAAAGGAATCGACTGGATGTCGAAAACAATTTGCGTTGCGCACTTTCATCTTTCAAACCTAGAATTTCCCAACTCGTGAAGAAAATACAGCATCATCCTTCACATTAAATTTGTTTTGTTTATGCTATATATTATTTTAAATTACATTTTTATTAAATGTTTGTGCCAAGAAAAACTATTTGTGCTTATTTTTCATTTTAAATAAAATATTTATACCAAGTTTTTGTGTTTATTTTTAATTTTAAATTATGAATTGAATTAGTTAAAAGGGGGGTTGGATGATGGTAAAGGAGAGGTGGGGGGCATGAGGGTTTCTCAAAAATTAAAAAGGGGGCGTGATGCCAAAAAGTTTGGGAACCAATGTTCTAGGTCTTTCTGATCCAAGGTCTGCTTTAGGTACAAGCAATGCAACTCACCACTTGAGGACACACTTTTCTGTGGACTCCCTGGTTCTCTGCTGAGTGATTTCATGGACTCACCCATCTCCCTCTCCAATTGTGGGACTGGGGATGCAAACACTCATCATGCCATCTCCCACTCCTTCCAGCAGCCCAGAGCTGTAACTCTTGCCTTGGTCCTTTTCTGATGCCTCTTCACCTAGCTGTCCTGCAGCAGCAAAAAGCTTCACTTTTTCTGGTCTGCTAATCCGACTCTGCATGGAAACCTTGCAAATGAACAGGGTGCCTTGGGATGGCCATTGGGCTCTGTAGGGAGTGCAGGACAGAGTGTCTTCGGTTCCTGGGGAATTAAAGATCACCTTTGGAATCCTATTTTCAACAGATTATGGAGCCTCAATGCAGTGCTTTTGAGCCAATATTCCTCACAAAATTATTCTGCCATATCATTTTCTGCTTCCAATGGCTTCTGCTTACTACAGGCCTCAGGCTTCCTGGATGTGAGGAAGGCCGTCTCCATGCTGAATGGAAAGAGAGGCCTGAAGAATTGCTTCCCCTGCATCCTTCGCTGTTACTGATAGCGCTTACTGGATAATAAAATGCCTTGCGTGTCTATCAGCTAATACCTTCAATCAGCCAATGGTCTCAAACACTTTACAAACATTAATTATTTCAGCCTTTGTCTGTTTTACAGATGATAAATCAAAGCACAGAGGCAAAGTGACTTGCTCAAAGTCACAGAGTAAGCCAGCAGAACGGGAATCCTAACGCCCAGGCTGCTGCTCTCACCACTAGGCACACTGCTTCTCATGCCTCCCATCTGGCTATGGCTTCTGAATGGCGACAGATTGTGTTTTAAGAAGTCACTGGGGTTTTCCTTTCTCCCTAAAGAACAACATTGATTTTTCAATCCACTTTCAATAACTCCATTGACAGGACAAGGTATGGAAGTGCTGCCAAAGGTCATGTCCCTGAATTTCTGCACAAAAGAGGTTCCACGTTAGTCATAGGGCAGTGGGGGTTATATCGCCGGGGCCATGTTCTCTGCTGGTATAACTCCATCGAATTCAATGGGTTGCCACTTCCACTGACTGAAGATAGTTCTGCATCCCTTTCCCTTCTTCCAAACTTATTCTTCCTTGCAATTTAGAAGGGGGTTGTTACATTTATTTGAAATAGAAGTAACAATCTAAAATTGTCAGTATATACCTGTTATAGATTTGGGGCTCAGCCACGCCACACGTATAAGCAGGCCAAGTGACTCGGTTACAATCTGCAGCATGGACAAGCATCATCTGAGTTTAACTCTTGTCGTGTTCACAGTATAAATTGTAACTGGATCAGAAGACAGCCATGTTATAACTTCAGTGGCTCTGTGCAGGTGGTACAGACAGACTGCTCCTGTGTCTCTCTGAGTGTCACACTCTCTGTCTCTATGCACATAGGATGATTATATCCTTCCC